ACTGAACCGGCCCCAGCCAGGGCCAGCTCCCCACTGTCGCCCACGTGGAACAGCCCTGGAAAGAGAATGCTTGTCCATGCCCACCACTCAAGGGTGGCTGTCCTGAGGCAGAGCTGTGGGGACCTACCTGGAGCCCCTCTGCACCCTGCGTAGGGCTGGGCACCATCACTGCTCACCTCCAGAGCGTCACCACCACGCAGCCTCAGCTCCTGTTCATAGTGGGACACAGCCCGGCGGTGGTCCTTCATGTCTCCCCAGGTGGTGGCCAGGGACACGTGGATGATGGCCAGCTCGGGCCCTGGCCGGCCCAGCAGCTCTGCAAAATGCAGCTGTGGAGGCAGATAGCGAGGCCACCACTGCCTTGCACCTTGCCAGCCAGGGTGTCACTGCCCCTTTCCTCCCACCTTGGCAGGGGACGCACACCTGCTTCTGGTAGGCCTCAGCCGCCTTGGGGAAGTCGCCTGCCTTGGAGAATAGGTCCCCCAGCTGCTCACAGATGCCCATGGCAACCTGAGGGTCGCTGCCCTCGGACTCCTGCAGCTGCTCCTGCAGCTGGACCACGGCCAGCACTGCAGACAAGAGCCTCATGTGAAGGCAGGGACAGCGCACCTCCGACCTGGCTGCCTCTTAGGCGGGCCAGCCGCCCTCTCCACGCCCTGCTCGTCCCTTGGTAAGAGGGGACGGTAAGGAAATGCACCCCATGGGGTCGTGAGACCAGGGAAACGAAAAAATGACAACTGAAAGCACCTGGCCTGCAAGGGAAGCCACACCTGGCGCCCCTCTCCCCCCCCACACACAAGACCCCACTTTGCCAGTGAGGATCCTGCTCACGTACAAATGCCCAGCCGCGCTCCTGACCACCTCGCCACCCTCTGACACACTGTGCTGAACCCTCACAGAAAAGTGGGGCTCGCTTCCCAACAAGAAGAGGGGGCAGGAAAAGGCTCCACACTGATGCTGCCACCTCGCCGCCCCTTCTGGGGGACTTCAGCCCCTCAGGTCCCCAGACTCACCGTATTTCAGGGTCCGGCAGATTGCCGCCTTCTGCAAAGGCTTCTGGAAGCCCAGCCGGTAGGCTTTCTTCAGGGCTCTTTTGGCAGCCAAAAAATCGCCCAGGTCTTGGAGGATCTGTGGGGGTTAGGGAAGGTGAGATGTGCAGACTCTGCGGAGGCCGAGCGCCTCGGTGGGTTAAGCCCAGAGCTGTGAGAGCAGGCACCTGTGAGATGAGCACGCAGCACTCGCTCTCCATCAGCTCCTTCCTCAGGACGCGTGCACACTCTCGGGCCCCCTCCAGGCAGCGCATGGCTTGGGAGTGCTGCCCTCGGCGCCAGTGGATGGCACCCAGGTTGTAGCGGGCACGGAACAGGTCCTCGTAGAGGTGGTTCTGCCTGCGGGTGGTGACAGGTGCTCAGAGTGCCTCTGGGATAGCACAGAGAGCACTGGAAGTGCTGACATGCAGCCGCTCCTTCCCCAACACCGACACGCTCTAGCCGTGCAGGGGCTCCTCTGCTCAGAGGAGACTGACGGGGCGGGGGAAGGCAGATGGGCGGTGCACTCTCACGAGGCCCCTTCCTCTGGGGACGGAGGCCTTACTCGGCGAGGAAGATGCTCTTCCGGAAGTAGTCGTTGCATGGCGCCATCTGCCGCAGGCTTTCGAAAGTGAGGCCCAGGTTGAGGTAGAGTCGGGTCCTCATCTCGCTCAGTTCCCGCCTGGCCAATGTCCCTGGAAGATGCCCGCCCCCACATCAGTGGCCGGGGGGGCATCATGCCCACTTGGGGCATCCAGCTCTGGGTCTGTGCAGCCTCTCCCCCACCTGTCTCACACTGAGGGGCCCAGGAGTCCTGCTGTAGACAGCACAAACGGACACAGAGCAGACAATGCCCAGACCTGAGGTTGTGAGGAGCACGGGCCATGCGTCTCCTCAAGGGAGGCCTGATGGACAGATCTCAGCTTTATAAAGGGAGGGCCCAGACCAGTGGAACCTGCCATGCACACCGGGCAGGCTGTGAGGCTACAGGCTCCTTGGCCAGCAGGTCTGGAACCAGAGGCTGGGGAAGGCAGGCCTCCACGACCACTCACCCTGCAGCTTCTCGTCCACAATAGCCAAGCTCTTCTCAAAGGCAGTCTGCGCCTGCAGCAACGTGTCCTGTGACTGGCAGTGGTCAAAGATGTCCAGGTAGGTGCGGCCAATGGTGGCCCAGGCCCTCTGCACCTCAGTGTGATTGGACAGAGAATGGGCCAGCTCCAAGTAGCGATGCTGGTGCTAGGGTGCAAAGGAACGGCCTCTGTGAGCCAACCTGCCCCACCTCAAGCACATCTCTTATGTACTCCATCTCCAGGAGGTCCCTACCTTTGCTCAGGAGAGTCCCCTACTCCCCCAAGGCCCCACAGAGCATGCCAAAGCCAGGCTGCACGTGTCCCATCTCTTCTATGCCAAGGGCTGCCTGTGGGGACGGTTGGTGCCCCACTCCAACCCGCCAACATCATCATGAGGAAGAGACAGTGGGAGTTAGCTGGGCTGCTGCAGCTGCACTAGCCAGGGCCAGAGCAGGCCCTCCGTGGACAGTGGGCCCAACTCCCCAGCCGGCCCACAAACACAGCCCAAGTGTTATGTTCACTAACGGTTGCTGGGCCCAGGCGCCTAGGACAGGCTCTGATGTGCCTACCCAAGAACCAGACTACAATCCCCCATCACAGGGCTGTCTGAAGAAAAGGCCATGTCCAGGCGTGTCCTCCTCTAGCCAGAGGTCAGACACTGAAGACTGTGCTTCCCTCCTCAGAAAGGGACCAGCAGGAAGCGTGGGCCCTGGAGGGCTGGATGGGGTTGCAAGGGTGCTGGGGGTGGGGGTAGGCTCCGCCCACCTTCAGGGCAGCGGAGTAATCCTCCAGCTCAGCCAGTCGCTCTCCGACCTTGCGGTGGGCCACGGCACAGCCCAGGGGGTCGTCGACGCTCTCCAGGAGCCGGAGCTCATGCTGGTGCTCTCGCAGGGCCTCTGCGTAGCGACCTGGGCGGGCAGGCACGGCAGGCTTCGGCCCCCGCCCGGCAGTCAGCCAGGGGCTACGCGGGCGAGCGCGGCGGGGGGCGGCCCTGGGCTGCTCGCTCAACAAGGTTCCCGCCCCCCTCCCGCGGGTCCCCGTCCCTTCCGGCCCCCGAGTGTCCCCCGACCTCCAACACCCCAGCTCTCCCGGTCCAGGACCACAACCTGGACCAGGCGCGGGGCACGCACCATGGCTGGCCAGGAGCTCCCCCAGCTGGTGGCAGAGGACGGCCTCGTCCCGCAGCTGCCCGCTCCTCTGGGCCTTGGCCTTGGCCTTGCTCAGCTCTGCAGAGAGAGAGAGACGAAGCCGGGAGGCTGAGCCCCTTCGCTCGGGCGGGCCAAACCCGCTCCCGACCCCACAGCCGGCCGGGAGACTCACTGCGAAACTCGCGCTCCACGTTCATGCTCAAGCAGCCGCGCGCGGGGATCCGGACTTCCCGCGCTCCCGCCGCGGCGCCGCGCCAGGCCCCGCCCGTGCCTCGGAGCATCCCGGGAAGTGTAGTCCAGCCACCCGAAGCATCCTGGGAGCTGTAGTCCGGGGGGCGTTCACTTGGGAAGGGCGGCGAGAGAGCGACGGGGGGATCCGCGCACCTCCCCACACTCCTGGGGCCGCGTGGGAACTGAGCCCCACCCCACGTTCCTCCCCGGCCCCGCAGTCGCCTTTGCGGTGGGGTCTCCTGGGCTTGTGCCCGCGTGCTGCCGCTAACGTCACACACACACGCAAATCTACCTACACCTGCGACTTCACCTGAGGGACGCACCGCTTTCACATAAAAGGAGATGAAGGGATTTATGATCAAGTACCCTTGAGTGCTTGGACAGGTGCACGGAATCAAATACGCCCTCTTTCACAGAGCCTGTGGAGCAACCGCGAATGCAGCCACAGAGTCGTCTCGGCCGCGGACACGAATCCCCAGGGCTTGGTGCGGGAAAAGTGGGTGGATGTGTTTTCCAAACTGAACAGAGCAAGGCACTTCTGCCTCAATGCACACACGCTGAAACCTTGTGGGCTTGGTGCACCCAGGCCACAGACCTCTAAATGCCTGTCGTGTCTCGCACTGCTTCGAGAACCAAACACCTGCCATGCCTTGGAGATTTCAGTCCCCACTGGGTGCCAAGGCTGGTGTCCAAAGGCCCCAGAGGAGGGCCAGAAAGGGTGGGATGGTGGATGCATTTATTTTCTGTGGAAATCGAAACAGACCCAATAGGGTAGAAACCCTGAGGCAGTGCATGGACCGTAAGGCCTGTGGTGGAGGGAATGATGTAGAGAGTAGATGGGTCTCTGGGTCCAGGGAAGACTGCCCAGGGCCAGTGACCAGACTTCAGGGATGGGGGCAAAGCCGAGCCTGAGGAAGCGCAGGCGATGGGAAGTTGGACCCAGGTAACCCTCTTCTCTTGGAAGGATAAAGTGCTCTGCAGGCCCCTAGTTTGGTCTGGGCATGGGGAGCAGAACAGGAAGGCCCCGAAACCGAAAGGGCTGCTTGGAGGGCCTGCTGGTGGAGTGTGAGCAGCACAGTGAGGGGCAAGGTGGAGATGGGGCAGGGGTGGGAGAGCAAGGCCATGGAAGTAGAGACGGGCTCAGCTCAACAGGCCAAGGGCGGAGGGAGTCCCCCCAGAGCTGCTGGGAGCATTCGGCATTCACAAGACAGCCAGAGAGGACCCCACTTTGCTATGCCTCAGCCTTCCCACCAATCGGGCAAAGATGTGTATATGGGGCAGTACTGAGCAGGGGCCGTGGGGCGGGGGGCCCAGTGGGGGCAGCTCCTGACTCCTGTCCAGGATGCTAGCAGAGCCCAGGGAAACGCATCCATGAGGCTGGCTTCTCACATAAGGAAACACAGACAAAACATGGTTTGGAATTTTTTTGAAACTATAGTTACATACAGAAAATATCCAAAGAGAACACAGACCACAATAGTGACACGTAAGTCATTTCCCACAGTGATAAAAACACCTCTCGCTTTACTCTTTAAAAAATTATTTTTATTATTTTTGTAAATGTCTCCCTTGGGTGAACTGAGGGATGTAGTGCCCGTAGGGGAGTGGTGATGGCACGGAGTAGAGGGGCCAGCTTGGTCTGTGCCCCCAGGACTCCCCCACATCTGCCGGGGTTCTTCCCCCACTCTCTCTAGGTCAGGATGCCAAGATGGCAAAGGGTCCTGGAGACAGACCATGGGTGTTTTCTCCTTTCTAACAACATGGTTGGGACATCCCCAGTAAATCAATGACACCCCAGTGAGATGCCACAGGAGGTTTGTGGCACCAGCTCCCAGGAGTGGCTGGGACATACCACCATCTCCCAGGGTGCCTGTCTCCACCAGGCTGTAAGGCTCAGCTGCTGAGGTGACTGTTACAGGGTGGGGGCTGGGGACAGCGATGCTGGGATGTGTTACCACTCCTCTTGGGCACCCCCAGACACATGACCCTACAAGGAAGGCCTTGTGTGGGTGCCACCCTGCCCCCCCATGCCCTTGGGCTGCCAGAAATAGTGGGCTATATGCCCACAGCACCCAGGAACCCCTGGTGTGCAGAGCCCAGCCCATCTGCCACCCCCATCCCCAAGGACTGCTATAGACCTAGGACTGCAGAGACAGGGCTGAGAAGGCCCAGCCACATACCTGCCCTGCATAGAGATCTGCTGCCTCCCACCCTGCCCCAGCTAGGAGAGCCTTTGGGCGCCACCCCTTTGCTGGCTCAAATCTCTCACACATGCACCCAAACACAGGCAAGCCTGCCCTGGCCTGGCTCCTCCACCACATGGTCCTCTGGAATCCAGAAACTCTACAGAGACGGTGTCCATCCCCAAGAGATGCTGAGATGCAATGACACAGCACCATCCCCTCTACTCACGAGACCTGGCACATGGCTATCTGAATGTCATCCTCTGGGCCTGCCGGGCGGGGGGCAGCCCTCGAGGGCAGTGGGACTCTTGCCAGGGTGTGCCCCCGAGGATGTGCTGGGGGCTGGGGTGGCATCTTTGTGGAGGGTAGGAAAGCAAGCATAGCACCTCTGGGCACCCTCAGTGGCCAGGCACAGATGGCCTTGCAGGAGGGGTTCCCCCATAAGCCCCGTGCCCTAGGCTGGAAACAAGAAGCTAACCAGTCTTCTCAATATAACTAGGCCAGCTGCCCTGGGGGGAGAATTGGCTCAGAGGGCTGCCTGGGCTCAGCACTGGGATGAGGCACCACTCTACCCCAGGCCTCCCTGCCTCCATTTCTCAGTTCCCAGCTTGAGGGCTGGGAGAGGGAGGGACCACACAGCAAGGCCAGGCCTGCAGCTCTGCACTCTTGCTGCCAGGGCTCCCCAATATGCTGAGCCTACAGGGCCCGGGAAATGGGGGGCTAGGTCAGGAGGGGGGCGGGAGTGGCAGGGACTGCTCTGAAGCATCCGGTAGGCCAGGCCAGGGGCAAAGGAAACGGTTCTTTGGTATCTAAGCAACAGAAACCTATTGCAGAAGAGCCGTGTCTCCTAAGCAAAGGAGGAGGGGGCCAAGCTTTCCCCTTTCCAGCAGCTCTGAGGGTCCCAGGGGCCTCCAGGGAGGGCTCCTTCCCCCGCTGTGAGGCCCACACACTGAGGACTGCTCACTGCAGGCCAGGGCCACGGGGGCAGCAAAGTTGAGGCTTGAAGAGCTCCCTCCAGCGAGAAACCAGGTTGCCCAAGGACTGACCTCTGTGGGGGGCCCCCCCCCCCGACACAGGGCCAGCATCATGGGGGATGGCCAGCCCACTCAAACCCTCCCCCAGCCAGGCTAGCTTATCACCAGCAGCCCCCACCCACAGCTTCCCTCACAGGCTGGGGATGCTGTGCCCTCAAGGCTGAATACACAAAATAGATTCTCTCTTGCTAAATTTCATAACTTATAGAAGAACCTGTAAAGAGTTTAATTTTTTTCCTGGGAAGAGACAATTTCACCCTGCATTCCGAAGCATCTGCTGAGCCTGGGTGGCCAAGTCCTGCCTCTCTGGGGCAGCCGGTGGGGTGGGGGGTGCGCTGGGGCCGCTGCAAGACCCCGGCTCTGGTGGGGGGTGTACATGGAGATGTAGTAACAAGGACCTTTGGGCTCTGACCCCCAGGCCAAATCAAAGCTCCCCCAATGTCCAATCGCAGCTATGCCTTTCCCTCAAACAAAACAGAAAGTAGGAAACAAGGGTGCCTTTTTAATTGCAATCAAATATGCCGTCTGAAGTCAGCGTGCTCCCCGAGCCCGGCCCAGGGGCCGGGCACGGCCCAGAGCAGACGGTGTGCCTCACTGCGCCACTGGGGGCCAGGGTGTGGCCACTGGGCTTAGCCCCATGGTGTCCCTGAGCCACCGTTTCCTCTGCAGGTGGCCCAGCCTCCGGTGCCTGGGACAGGGGAGGCGGGGCAGAGCGCGAGGCGTGAGCACTCACACCTTCGCACACGCATGCAGACTTTCCAATGTTCGCATTCATTCCTTCCCCTCCGTTGCTCAAAGGTCAGACAGCATGGTGAAGCCACCGCTGGGCAGGCGTGGGCAGCACAGCGGAGCCGCCTACTTCTGTATCTGGAACAGGAAGAGCCGCAGGTTGATGTTCTTGGCGGCCAGCAGCTTGTTGCACTCCACGGAGTCGACGATGGGCAGGGGCACGTAGTCCGTCTCGTTGCTCTCGTTGGTGAAGACGAAGTGGTAGATGACCGGGCTGATCTTCACATCGTCATAGGGACCCTTGAGCAGCAGGAAGGAGCACTCCAGGGGCGCCGTGACCTTGCTCTTGAGGAGAAGCTGGAAGGAGAGTGTGCGCTTGCACGACAGGTTGGGGTTACGCTCTGAGTCGTTCACGCGCGCCTTCAGGACCCATGTCTGGTTCAGCACCGTGAACCTTGGCGTCTCGTAGTACAGGCGCGTGATGAAGTCATCCGTGCGGTACGGCCGAAACTGGACCTCTGTGGAGACAGACAGGCCGGGAAGAGCCGGCAGTCAGTGTGGGCAGGGCCGGGGGTGGCGCCTTCCAAAGGCCGAGCGAGGATAAAGGCTCAGCCAGGGAGGAAGGCAACTTACCAGGAGGACACAGCGTGCTCTACTTGTCACAAGGCAAATCAAACGCAATTATGGCAAATGGAGGCGTACACAAGCTTGGGGGAAAGAACTACAAACAGAAGTAACACGCATTAGCTGCAGGGAGTCCGGAGGCTGAAGGAAGTGAGCGGCCCGACCCTCGCTGGCCTCCCTCTTCGCCCCCCCCCAGGGCCCAGCCCAGGCAGAGGGAGGCCCACCCAAGGGGCGTGGGTAAGCAGACACACAGACAGGATGCGTTCTGAGAACAAGTGCACTTTATTGGTTCTGATACAGAGCTGCCAGAAAAGCCGGCAGGCGGGCGGGCAGGCAGGCGCGTGGCACGTGAGCCTGCGTGGGGCGCAAGGCAGAGCACTGGCGTGTGGCCCAGTGCTGGGCTCCTGTGCTGTCACACAGTTCTCTCAGCACAGCCCGGGGCCCACGGCCCACGAGTCCCTCCACGGAGGTGGCCAGTCCTTCCTGTGTGGACGGGGTTCCCTGCCCGGCCACCGCCACCATCATGATGCCTCAGCCCGCCCAGACCCACAAGGCCTGGCCTGGACTGTTTGTGCCATGGCGCCCACCAGGGCAGCTGAGGCTGCAACTAACCAGGGGCCACGACCTTCTGCTGCTGAGGCTGCCGGGCCCTTCGCTCTCAGGCCTGTGCAGGCCCACACCTAGCCAGGCCTAGTCCAGGCAGCACGGTGTGACTGGTTGCCTGGGACCACCCTTGATGCTCTGAGCCGGCTGCCTGGTGTGGGCTGAGCAGTAGAGGGCTGTAGTCTCCCTGAGTGGCCCCAGTGTCAGCAGGTGCTTCTTGCTGTTCTCTGTATCTGGACCAGGCCCTGGCCTGGCTCCTGCTCCCCAGCATGTCCAAAAGCAGTGGCAGTGGCCAGGCGAGCCCATGAGATCCAGTAGGCCTGAGCGTGGTCCAGCCTGCCCGTCCCTGGGCGTCCACTCCCAGCTCTGCATTTTGAGCTGAGCACCCTCAGCTCATTCAGGAGCCCTGCCCCTGAGCATCTTCTTGATGGCCTCAGGAGACCCGTGGCCACTGCAGTAACTGCCTGCAGGCAGGACCGGATGTGCTGAGTGCTCTTCTTGCCTTTGGCTCCGCAGGGCAGGCCCCTAGCTGCTGGGCCCTCCAAGACACACCCCCCTTCTGCTTAGACACTGACTGTCCCAAGGACTGTGCAGCCCCACGCAGTAGGATGTCACCTTGTTGGGGTGGCAGGCCCAGGGAGGGGAGGCAGGTGGGAGGGCCTCTGAGAGCCATGCAGGTGCCCCTGGGGTCCTGCCCCGGCCCCTCCCCTGCTTGGCCTCTGGCCTGTCTTCTCCCCCAAGGTGTCCTCCCATTCACCAAAAGCTTGTCCACAGCCTGGCCTTCCAGCATGGTCTGTGCCCACTGCTCAGAGCCCACTGCTCCCCAGCACCCCCAGCCTGTGCGGCATGCAGTGGGTGGCAGGGCGCCTCACCTGTGTAACCGATCTTCTCAAAGCTGAGCAGGCTAAAGATGCTGTTGTAGAGCTGCATCTCCTTGCGGTGGCTCTGGTCCATCTCGTCTAGGATCTCCATCAGCTCATTGCCCGTCTTGGTTGGGTGGGCACATGCAGCCTCGTGCACCGTCAGCTCGTGGAAGGGGCCATGCCACGGGCAGCCGATGCGCTTATATTTGCACTGGGTCACCCTGGGGAGGAGGCGAGCACCGTGGTCACAGCCTGCGCCCTGTGGGAGGTAGCTCTGCCCAGCCCTGCTCATACAAATTACGCCTTGAAGGACATATCCACCGTGTGCCAGCCCCCAAGAAGGGGTCAGAGTATGTGGGAGAGACTGAGAGAAAAGGAGCACGTGAGAGCTGTGAATATACATGCCACCTACACCCTTTGCTGGGAGGACTCTCTTGCTTGGCAACAGTGGCCACTGACCATGGTCTTGGACCCTATGCAGCTTCGCTTTATGTGAGGCTCGCCGGCCTGACCACTGGCAGACAGCAGGGTCAGCCAGCAGGGACTGGGTTAGGGTGCCCATGCAGCTTCACGCTAAGCTCCCAGAGCTGGCCAAGGACAGAGAGCCTCTAAGAGGTCCCCATGCAGCCAGAGAACCTTGGAGAGCCAGGGTGATGTCCAAACAGCCACTGGGTCCAGATCACAGCCCCCTGCCCTCTGCAGGGCCCACCCCTGCTCCCCTCCAGGGCCTGGGCCCCAAGCAGCTTCACCCTGGCCCATTCCCTCCAGGTTGCCACTGGGCTATGTGTGCAGAACCCAGGGCCAGGGCAACAAAGACCAGCCAAAATAACCCACATTCTGGGGCCTCGCCTGCAGCAGGGTGGCCTCCAGCCCCATCCTGGGCTCCACGCATGTGGTTAAAGCTCCGGCGGGCAGGCCGGCCCAGGAGGTTACCTGTCCTGACACTCCTCTTTCTGGTGCCTCTCCAGGAGGGAGCGGGGAAACTGGCGCAGGCAGAAGCCACACTCGGAGGGCAGCTCGCTCACGGCTTTCTCCACAGCCAGGTTGCGGCAGCAGAGGCTCTTACTGATCTCACAACGACAGTTAGGGCATGTGGCCTGCTCCTCCTTCAGCCGGGCATCTGCTAGTAGGTGGATAAAACAGCCAGCGCACATCAAGTGACCGTTAGTACACTGCGAAGAAGGAAAGGGAGATGAGCTCACAGACCTGCAGGAGGTGCACACACGCACGCACCAGCCTGCCCCACCGGCTCCAGCTGCAGAAGGGCCTGCTGGCCAGGAGAGGCAAACAGAGCCACTGCTCAGGAGGAACGGGCCTTGGGCGCCTGGGTGGCTCAGTTGGTTAAGCGACTGCCTTCGGCTCAGGTCATGATCCTGGGGTCCCGGGATCGAGTCCCGCATCGGGCTCCCTGCTCAGCAGTAAGTCTGCTTCTCCCTCTGACCCTCTTCCCTCTCGTGCTCTCTGTCTCTCATTCTCTCTCTCTCAAATAAATAAAATCTTAAAAAAAAAAAAAAAAAAAAGGAGGAACGGGCCTTTTCCGTGGAACATGGCGAACACACAGCCAATGGGGTTCCTGTGGAGAGGTGGGTGACTCAAAGAGAGCCCTTGGTGGCTTGCAGAGGTGACAGACCTCCACTGAGGGAGGCCCACAAGGGTGACTGGTTTGGCCACACTGGGGCTTGGAGCCTTTTCCCATCCCAGGGGCCAGGGACTGTGTCACGGGTCCCCCAGACGCCCTGACTTCAGGACACCTACAGGAACACGGACTCTTGTCTGAGCACAGCAGCGGCACTTAGCCAGCAGCTGCCGAGTAGGAGCAGACACTGCTCCCCTGTGCTGGGGGCCTGGCCCCTCCACTCCGGCCCTCCTTGGCCGGCACAGGGGAGAAGGCAGCTGCCACCCACCCAGTGAGGCTGGCTTCACACGGGGACCTTCCTGAAGGCTGCTGGCACAGAGCTGGGGTGGGTGGGGAGACCCAGCTGGCCTGGGACAAGGGTGTTGTGAGCACAGTGTATGCCTGGAGGAGAGAATGGGAGCTGCCAGCAGGACAGACTGCTGAGCCGGGTCAGCAGGAGGCAGGCCCCCTTCCTTTGGGAGCCTGCAGATCTGAGGCCCAGACACTGGCTGTGGCCAACATGCCCGTACTGGGAGTCCATGTGCACGCAGACAGTGGGCCTCTGGTTCCACAGGCACATCCTGAGGACCCATGTGGTGCCGTTCAGGGAAGTACACAGGCTGTGGGCCTGGCCCTCCAGGGGTAGGAGAGACCCACAGAGATACAAGAGCAAAAGACTTGAGCTGAGCGTCCCCTTGGGGCAAACACAACTCCCCAGGCCTGGCCCTGGCTGGTAAAAACCTGCAGGGGCAGAGGTCAGGGAATGCTGTGGGGGGCAGGTAGGGGTTCTGCTGAGGGTAGCTGGATTTCCACTTGGAGACTCTCCTGCAGCCAGCTGAGGGTGAGCAGGCAGATGGCACGATCACAGGCCTTGCCAGCAGCCGGCCTGGGCTCCCCAGCCAGGACAACCCTCCAGAAAGCCACTGGGCCACAAGCTTCCCCCGAGGTCCGGGACACTTCTGAGGGGGCACTGCAGTGCAGTGGAGGCCTGGCCACACCCACACACATGGGATCCTCGGTCAACACCAGCTGCCATCCCATCATTTCAGGGGTCTGCGCACCCTGAGCTGAGGAGCTGTGGGAGGCCGAGGGAGCTCTTGGCACCTGTGTGCCAGGCCTGGGGGCTAGTGAGTGATGGGACTTACGTGTTAAGGACCAGTGCAGGTGGGAGGGCTGGGGACAAAGGCCTCATTCACAGAATCCATGTCCACACAAACACCACAGACTATTTGTGCCAAAAATCTCCATTTCTAAGTCAGGCCAAAAATTAAAATGTGCAAGATGAGGGAGGGGAGCTCGCTGCGCTCAGGTTTGGAGGAAAAGGGACTGGCAGGGGTGGGTCAGTGTCAGCTTTGGACACATGGGCTGGCGGGGTGGGGACTCTCAGAAGCAGCGGGGATGAGCGGAGTCCTGCTCACGGGAGCAGCAGGCTACCCTGTCCACCCCCAGAGGTCAATGGAGAAGCCAGAGATGCGGTGGGTGAAAGAGAGCGCAGGGGACACAGACACCACAGGCCCCCGCCACCCGGTGGGAGGCAGAGACCAAGGGCCCAGGGCATGTGTTTAATCACAGCCCCCGCCAGGGGCCTGAGCCCGGCAGAGACCTGGCTTCGCCAAACCATAGCCCCGGAGAGAAGACTGTTGCAGCTTGCAGAGGCATAGAAGGACGGTGTTCAGGCTAACCACTTAGTCATGGGAGGAGGAAACTTCAGGGTGCCCCCTGGAAGTGAAGCCACAACCACTGCCTGGCACCTCCGAGGGCCTGGCTGGACACCAAGGCCCTTCACTTCCAGGGCCTGCAGGATGCCAACTCTGGGACCCCCCCCACACCACAGACTCTGGTTCTCGATGCCTTCTGGTGAGAGGCTACCTGGGCAGGGCCCAGCTCCGCAGGCACCACTTGCCTGAGCAGAACAGCAACAGAACCCACCTGGCTTCTCTTCTATCTCAAGGTGGCGCAGCCAGGGTGTGGGGCTAAGGGTGAGAGACTTGGATGGAGTCTAGAGCCTCCTGAGGAACACCAAGGTTGCCAAGTATATGACACCTACCTCCCAGCACTGCCCTGAAAGTCCACTGCTCTGGTGCAGAGCGGACCTGCATACCCCTCCTGGCAGGTCTCTTCTAGAGCCTGTGGGCTGCAGGAACATCCAAGCTAGCTCTCACCCCCTTCCTCCTGGAGTTTTTAGATGCAACACAGGTTTAGGAAAAGCAGTACTGACCCTTGCCCTCCTCTGGGGAGAGGTAGGGTCACTGCCCCTTAGGCCCCAACAGCTCAGTTGTGAGACGGAAGACAGTGAGCCAGCAAGATGCTGCAGAGTGCTACTGGCCCAGCCAAGGGACAAGCTGACATCCACATGCAGCCAGCACCTCACCAGTTACCCAAGGGGTGTTCTTCGGTAAAAACCAGATGGCTGCCCTGGGCCCAGATGACATCCAGCCCAGGTGGTCTGTCCACAGCAGGGTGGATCACCATGCTCCAGAGCCCTCCCCGCTACCCAGGTCCTCCTCGACCTCCTGAGCAAGACTCCAACTCCACATGCAGGCCTGGCCAATTGGTAACGCAGACTTAGCCTCCTCAGCAGCCAGGCTGGACTGTACCTACCCTGACTTGCCCAGCTGGAACCTGGCTCCCAGAGGGCTCTGCACAATGCCAGCTGCAGGCCAAGCCTCCGATGGACAGCTAAGGCAGGCCAGAGTGCCCCACTCCACACGCTAGAGCCAAGCCCCCAAGAGCCTGGGTATCCCAAGCAGCAGCTCCTGCAGCGCCCACCCAGGCTGCCAGGAAGATCCTGCTGGTTGGAGGGGCAGGGAGAGGGGCACCCCGATTCAGAACATTGTAGGGCTCCCCAGGACAGATGCTGGCTCAGTCTCTAACCTACAGGTCATCAGCAGCATGACCCTGGGCTTGCTGCTTTCTTCTTGGGCCTCACTGTCCTCAGGCACAAAAAGTGACAAAGACAGGACTGGCCTCATCATGTGCTGAGAGACGGGGTGAGACATGTACGACTGAGCATGGCTCAGCCCCCAGCACATGACAGGAACAGAAGGAACACCCACCATGGCCATCACACAGCAGAGCCTGGCCAGCCCCTCACAAGGCCCCCACCTGGAAAGCCTCAGAAAGGACCCCTGGCACAAGCACGCGATTTCAGCAAAAGCTCCTCCCTCACCCCAGGAGGCCCCAACCCCACCCAAGCCGCAGCAATATCCCCCAAGCCCCTCCGCAAACAGCCCAGGAGTGGACATTCGTACCTGCCCTCTCAGGACACCACCCAGCAACCTCTCCCTCTACAGGCCACAGGCAGCCCATGTGCACCCAGGCCAGCTTCCCCCCGGGGCTAAGGGGAAGCTGCCTGTACCGTCCAAACTCAGGAGGAGGAGCCCTGACTCCAGGCCTTGGGCTGTAAAGGGACCTTAGAAAATACCACCCCCCAACTCCTGGAAACCAAGCCTTGGTCAACAGGCCTTTTAGGCCCTCTTTTAAGCCTGGAGTACATGGTCCCCTCAAACACTGGGGGCTCCAGGAAGGCTTGGCACCTAGGCCCATGTGAGCAGCCCACCCTCCAAAGGACAGCTAAGGGCACTAACCCCAAAACTGCTGCTCAGCCCAGCTGGAGGTCCCTCTCACCATGCTCAACAGGGCTGCAGGGCACCCTATGTCCCTGATGTTTGGCCTGAGGTCTCAATTTCTTTATTCAAGGGAACTAAGAAGAGATCTCACCGTGTCCAAGGAATGCAGCTTTACAGCCAGGACTCTAACACTCCACCAGGTTTTGGGTCTGAAGTCCTGGACCAACAGCTCCCAATATCACACAAGAGTTAGGACTCAGGTGGGAACCAGTCATTCCCATAACCAGGTTCTTGTTCAGAATGTAGATACTCCGGATTGAAAGGCAACTCAAATGACAAGTAACCACCACAAAAAAATACAGGTTCTCATGTAGCCAGAGTTCAGAAACTTTCTCCTCTCTATGCTCTTGTTTTCGAGCTCTATTCTGCCACCTTTCTTACCTCAAAGCATGAGCCAGGAGCTAGGGAAGACGATCCCAGGTCAGCTGGGTGGGCAGCCTCATGGGGGATTCCCTAAACATCACTTTGAACAGAGGCTGCAGTACCAGGCATGCTGACAACCACTGGGGGCTCCCCAAGGCCTGTGACCACACTGGCTGGGGCCTGGGCAAACATGGACCCACCTCTGCTTCCTAGGCCTTTTACCAATATGACTGCCAATCACATAACCAGTTTCCCCTGCCAGGGCCTGAGCCGAGTCCTGGTGGAGACAGGAGACCTTAGGGGTGAGAGGCACAGGAGACATACCCAGCCCTCCCACAGGGCAGAAACTGGCAGGTGCCCCAGTCAAGTGAGGACAAGCGTCCTGTCGCAGGGAGAGAGGATGGCCACTGCCTCTGTGGGGCCCCAGAAGAAAAGCAGGAGTGGGGAGGGGGCACCCAGGCAGAAGGGGCACAGGAGCAACAGGTGGGAGGAGGGGGTGTGCTGCTGGCAGGTCACAAAGCCACTCGGGGGCCACATCCTGGGACACCCCCGACTACTCCTTCCT